TTTAGCAGAGTTACTGGTTCAAGACATGAGACTTCGTATCAAGAGTTCGATCAAGACTTAGATCAAGACTGACTTTTATGCCAAAACTCCCAGCTTTTATACTGAGATTTGGTCATAAATTTAATCAGAATTCATTAGATTTTCGCTTAGTTGAATTGACCTCGAATTAAAGTGCAAAAAGAGTGGCTTTGGATGTTTTCAGAAATAGTTTTTAATTTAATGGAATTTTATCATTAATCATTTTGCAAAAATCGATGTCAGTTGACCTTGGGTATTACTTAAAATTAAGTACAGAAAAAGGATTTCAATGTTCATCTGAAAAGATTTTAAACTAATTGATTTTTGTAATAATTCATCTGGCCTCTACCTATCTTTGGCCCGCCCCTCTGCTGTGGCTCAGTTACTTAGGTTATGAATTCCCTGTACACTCTTTTCTAACTTTTATACACATCTTTTTCGCTGTTCCTGTGTGCCACTATCAACAATGTTACAAAGGTAAAGTACCTAATAATAAACCTATTACATATATGCATTTCTTGGTATTTGAAACAAATATTCATATTTCCAACAAGAGTTAATTCACGTAATAATGTTGCTCTATCAATCTATCCTTCTAATACTTATTGAATGCATTCAAGTTCAGATACCTAAATATTTATTGACCTAATTAAAACGACCTTCTACTTCCTATAAGTGTGAAGTGTCTAGCATTAGTATTTGTTATGCTATTTTTGGTCGAGTCTTCGCGTTCATTACACTGGTAACATATCTTAGGTTGGGTTACTAGATCTGGTAACATATCTTAGGTTGGGTTACTAGATCTGGTAACATATCTTAGGTTGGGTTACTAGATCTGGTAACATATCTCAGGTTAGGTTACTAGATCTGGTAACATATCTTAGGTTAGGTTACTAGATCTGGTAACATATCTTAGGTTAGGTTACTAGATCTGGTAACATATCTTAGGTTGGGTTACTAGATCTGGTAACATATCTTAGGTTGGGTTACTAGATCTGGTAACATATCTTAGGTTGGGTTACTAGATCTGGTAACATATCTCAGGTTAGGTTACTAGATCTGGTAACATATCTTAGGTTGGGTTACTAGATCTGGTAACATATCTTAGGTTGGGTTACTAGATCTGGTAACATATCTTAGGTTGGGTTACTAGATCTGGTAACATATCTCAGGTTAGGTTACTAGATCTGGTAACATATCTTAGGTTGGGTTACTAGATCTGGTAACATATCTCAGGTTGGGTTACTAGATCTGGTAACATATCTTAGGTTAGGTTACTAGATCTGGTAACATATCTTAGGTTGGGTTACTAGATCTGGTAACATATCTTAGGTTGGGTTACTAGATCTGGTAACATATCTTAGGTTGGGTTACTAGATCTGGTAACATATCTCAGGTTAGGTTACTAGATCTGGTAACATATCTTAGGTTAGGTTACTAGATCTGGTAACATATCTTAGGTTGGGTTACTAGATCTGGTAACATATCTTAGGTTAGGTTACTAGATCTGGTAACATATCTTAGGTTGGGTTACTAGATCTGGTAACATATCTCAGGTTGGGTTACTAGATCTGGTAACATATCTTAGGTTAGGTTACTAGATCTGGTAACATATCTTAGGTTGGGTTACTAGATCTGGTAACATATCTTAGGTTGGGTTACTAGATCTGGTAACATATCTTAGGTTGGGTTACTAGATCTGGTAACATATCTCAGGTTAGGTTACTAGATCTGGTAACATATCTTAGGTTAGGTTACTAGATCTGGTAACATATCTTAGGTTGGGTTACTAGATCTGGTAACATATCTTAGGTTGGGTTACTAGATCTGGTAACATATCTTAGGTTGGGTTACTAGATCTGGTAACATATCTTAGGTTGGGTTACTAGATCTGGTAACATATCTTAGGTTGGGTTACTAGATCTGGTAACATATCTCAGGTTAGGTTACTAGATCTGGTAACATATCTTAGGTTAGGTTACTAGATCTAGTAACATATCTTAGGTTAGGTTACTAGATCTAGTAACATATCTTAGGTTAGGTTACTAGATCTGGTAACATATCTTAGGTTGGGTTACTAGATCTGGTAACATTTTCCGTCTCTATTGATAATATGCAATTTTAATCAACACACAAATGAAGAAGACAAATTTGATGCAATCGATTAACTGTCAAACACATAATAGTTATATTTGTTCAACTAGGCAGCAAAGTAGTAGATTGACTGCTGAGGCTGAATTCAGGATTTCAGCTAAGACAGTCAATCTACTTTGCTGCCGAGTTGAACATATAATTTTTTCTCCGATTGTTCATAATGATATAGGAGGTTATTGTATTTGCAAATTATTACAATTCTCACAATCTCTTTATTTTTGCTGTAGTGTTCAGTTATATTAAAATGTGATAGAAATCGCAGTTGTTGGAATGGTTGGTTGCTATGGAAATGTCCATAAGAATTATAGTTTGACAATTCATGAAATTTCTGACAGTAGTGCGAAAAAACATCGGTATATTTAAAATATTATATAATGGACAGTGATAGCGACCTGGAAGTACTTAATCCTCCAAAAATAAGGGAGATGGCTAAAAATATAGAGTAGAATTTGTTGCTGGAGAAGTCTCAGATGAAATATGAAGGAAATTATAAAAAATTTATGGATTATTAATTTTGCTGACACATATCAATCAGCAAAGTAACCATTTTGCTGCCTAGGCAGCAAAGTACCCACTTTGCTGCCTAGGCAGGAAAAGTAATACTTTGCTGATTGATATGTGTCAGCAAAATCAATATTTGCTGCCAATCGGAGAAAAAACATTTTGTGTAGGTACACCGCCTACTAAGTGAAATAACTATGAAAAAATATAATGATAGCCCTGTGGATCATCAAATAAGAGGAACAATTTTAGTTTTATTATTCCAAATGGGAAGATCATGTGATAGGTACATGGCGAAAATAAAAGACAGATAGTTTCTGTACGAGTAGCTGAATTCGAAAAAAATATATTCCTATCTTAGATTCCTCAATATCTTGAGTTATTTTCGAAGGTTTTCACCTTGACTCAAACAAGCTATTGACAACCTGCAGACATTGATCAGAATATCAAAACATTTTGAATAATATCGGTTTACTAATGATATTCAAATTTCAAATTTCAAAGCCTACCAAGTGTCGATATATCATGGATGTTTGGAAACATACCACTCCTTTAGTTGTTAGATCAAAATATGGTTGATAACCAATTTTCTTGATCAAAACAACAATTCCATATTCAACTATTGTTTGCTGCTTGATTTAATTATTAAACCAACCGGAACTTTAATGTAAAATTCCGAGTTATAACACGGAGTTTTAAAATTCTGAGTTATAACTCGGAATTTTGAATGTAAAATTCCGAGATATGAGTCGGAATTTTAAAATTCCGAGTTATATCTCAGGATTTTGAAGTGTTAATTTTTTTTTATTTTACATGTCCCTTCCAGGCCTTCGTACTAATCAGGCCAAAATACTTAGCATGAGAATATATGGAATTAATCTTCTCCTGAAGATGCTAACATAGTTAGCGAAACACATGTCAAGGCCTTCAATAAATCGATCGGTTCGGTTAGTTATAAAACACTGAAGTGTGATAATCTTGCCAAATACAGTGTGTCCCACTTACCATGCTCACCATGGGTATCTTTTTAACGGTGAGAGATACGAGGTCGGTTAAATGACACCAAATGTGAAGTTTGTCAAGGCCAACTATAATGTGAAAAAATATTTTGATAAAATCTATTCGTTTTTGTTTTATACGCAAAAAACAGATTTTGATCATTTTCATGTCTCCTCCGTAACTTCTTTATTTATGAAAATATTCAAATAGGAATTTCACATTCTTATGGCAGTTTTTCGGAGTGATTTCGAAAAAAATATGAAATTTATACCAACTCTCCTAGAATTTGAGATATCAGCACCAACTTTAGTTTTTTGAATGTAGGTCATAGCTCACTATGACTTAGTTACAAATAACTTTTTTTCCTCTTTCAGATGATGTGTTGTAGTAATAGTTTTGTGTTGATAACAACGGAGTTATCGTCATTTATACAAAAACAAAAATTATTTGGAAGCCGCCATCTTGAATTTATGAATTTTAACAACAAAATCATGATCTCCGATCTCAAAAACCCCCACTTACCAATTTTGAATGGAATCGGACCAAATCTTGTCCGCCATCTTGGAGCAGCCATTTGTTTTTGATTTCAACAAAAAATCCATAACTCCGATTGATTTGAAATTTGGCAGGTGTTCATAATTTCGGTGACAATATATTATGGAATTTTTGTTGAAATTAAAAAAAATGGCTGCTCCAAGATGGCAGACAAGATTTGGTCCGATTCTATTCAAAATTGGTAAGTGGGGGTTTTTGAGGTCGGAGATCATGATTTTGTTGTTAAAATTCATAAATTCAAGATGGCGGCTTCCAAATAATTTTTTGTTTTTGTATAAATGACGATAACTCCGTTGTTATCAACACAAAACTATCACTGCAACACATCATCTGAAAGAGAAAAAAAGTTATTTGTAACTAAGTCATAGTGAGCTATGACCTACATTTAAAAAACTAAAGTTGGTGCTGATATCTCAAATTCTAGGAGACTTGGTATAAATTTCATATTTTTTTCGAAATTACTTCGAAAAACTGCCATGAGAATGTGAAATCCCTATTTGAATATTTTCATAAATGAAGAAGTTACGGAGGAGACATGAAAATGACCAAAATCTGTTTTTTGCGTACAAAACAAAAACGAATAGATTTTATCAGAATATTTTTTCACATTATAGTTGGCCTTGACAAACTCCACATTTGGTGTCATTTAACCGACCTCGTATCTCTCACCGTTGAAAAGATACCCATGATGAGCATGGTAAGTGGGACACACTGTATTTCAGTCTTTGATATTTTCATTTCCATCATGATAAACAAATCGCTCTCATTTCCAGATTTATGAAATGATGGCTACCAATCTGACTGTCCTCAATGAAACAGTCTTCGAAGACGACCCATTCGCAGAGCTAGACGAGGCAGCTATAGAACAAGAAGAGCTAGCAGCCTCCTTCGCCTACATCATAGTAACCATCCTAGTCAAACTAGCAGTCTGCCTTGCAGCCATAGCGGCAGACATCTTCCTAGTCATCATGATCTGCAGATTCAGAAAACTGCGCTCCATCCGAATGAACATGTTCATTCTCAACGCCACCATACTGAGTGTGGTGTATTTGCTTTGTACACCTTTGTACTTTATGCTAGGCCACCTGCTGTTCAACCACAACGCTCCAACTCTGTTTTTGTGGCAAACCCAGAACACTCTGTTGATTTTGTACAATACATTTGCTATTTGCATGGCTGTATGTTGGTTCCTTACTGGGTACAAACCATTGCTGATCAAGAAGTACCAGAAGTATTCCAGTCACGTGTTCGGCACCATCTACATAGCTTTTATTATTGAATGGATCTTCGCTTTCATCTACTCCAAGAATCATCACATAGCCAGGATGTCTATCTTCACTGTCTTCTACGTTATCTTCTTGGTACTGCTGGTGATCTTGAATGTCCTGAAGACTAGAGTGAGCATGAGCAGCGATTGTGCAAAGACTTCGTACTGTTTGAATGTCGCGAACATTATTTTCTTTGCTTATTTGCCGATGTTTTTGTTCCATATAGCCATACGGTTTATTTCGAATGATTTTATGTTTTACTTGGAGTTTATACCAGAGCTGATTGCGTTAGCTCATCCAGTATTGATAGTTTATGAGTTAGGGAGGAAGGATAAGCATTTTAAGACGGCTTACAAGAAATCTTTTGAAAGGCAACATGAATATGAGGATGACAATTTAGATGAGGTGTCTGATAATGAAATTGGCGATACTAGGACTAATGTTATTAGTGTTGATGATAATAGACAAACCTTGATAATTTGACGACATTAAGTTTATTTGTACATGGAAATAATATAGTTTCAATTCATGTTTTTCACTACATGTTTGTTTTTCCACCACTAGATATAGAACCTACCATTATTTACTCCTTGAATCTATGTATGTATGTGAGTGGAAGGTCTGGGACCTGACGCCTCCCTTTTCGGGCTCATTGTGCACCCACATTCCTGGCATCGCAAGTCAGCCATGGGGAAGGCCGATCTCGCGAGCAAAAGAGACCAACTTTCTAGGCCAAACCTCTTCAACATCCTCTGGGTCCAGGATACTGCTCCCAAAATGGATATCCCTTGCTGCCACTACTGCCGGGCATTCAGTGAGGATGTGAGTAGAAGTCTCTTCATCCTCTAGGCACCATCTGCATTCAGGATCCTCCACAATCCCGATCGTGCTGAGATGTTTGTTCAAGTCAGAAGGCCCACCACCAGTTTCAGCTCCTTCCTGTTCGAAGCCAAGAGGGCATTGGTCTGTCTTCGTGACGGGTTTACTATATATGGAGTTTGGACTGCCTCATTCTAGGAGCCTCTCTCCAGCTGTCCTGAAACCTTTTCGTCAGGATTTTCTTCATCCTGAGGTTACTCCAGGACCGAGTGACCCCTAAAGATTGGCTCTGGGCCAATCACTGAACCCTTCGCCCCCTTTCTGGCCAGACCATCGGCCATTTCGTTGCCTGGTACCCCTGAGTGTCCAGGGACCCACAAAAGACATACTTTGTTCGTTGCTGACAGCCTTTGTAGGCTATCTATGCACTCTGACACCAAGGCGGAGGTCACCCTATACGAGGTGAGCGCCTTGATCGCCGCCTGGCTGTCAGTGCATATAGTGATTTGCTTTTCAAGGAGTTGAGTGTGTTTGTTCTATCAAGGTAGGTTGTGTAATTTTATCAACTACTACTCAATAAAGACATAATGTTTTAATTTACACGAATTCACTGTTCTGATGCGAGATTCGCAGCAACGACACTCGATTCAATTAGAATTGAAAAGTGCTTCCATAGTGACAATAGTTTCATATTTTAGTTTCACACAACTGTAACAATTTCAATATATCGCTAGTAATAATGATATCGTTCACTACCTTGCTTTATACATAACTATTATACAGTTCTAAACACACTAGATGGACCAATTTGACTCTATTTCGAAGACCTGTATTTTTTGAAAAAGTTGACCAATCTTCATGCGGTTTTCGATATCAGATGTGATGTTTTATCGGCTTCAAAGAGAGCTAGAACACTCTGGAAAAGTCCGCAGAACAAAACTTACACAGGGTGTAAAGTGGAACCAATACACTAAGGTCTACATTTCCAATGCTGCCAGAACTCGAGAAATTTTTTTCTGATCAAAAGTCAGTCATATTATGATACACTGGGACCTCATCTCGGGACATTTCCGTGATTTCTCCTTGATTGGCCATTGGAACAAAAATTCGATTTTTTTTTTCGAAAGTCTTGCATTTCTTGAATTTTTTCTCTAGAACTCCACTTGAGCTGACTATTGGAAAGAACTATTCTCATGTTTTGTGGAGGACAATGAAAGTCGAAAAGAGCAGTTTTGTGGAATATACAGGATGATAAGAAAATAGGACAAAATCTCATTTCAGTAAAAAAAATAAAAAATGGTGACTGAAACCATGGCCCATTCGATTCAGTATATTCAGAAACGGCCTTCTCGATATCCATTATTTATATTAGACTATTAACTCGAGACGTTTTCGAAAATTCGTCTCTTATATACAGGATGAAAATTTTCAATTCACACTTGTTTGATGTTTCCTGATATCGATGATTCTTATAATTTTATCAACTGATTTCCAATATTTATGGCCCAAGTATGAGACACAGAGTATTGTTGTTCAATATATACTGAGTATTTCACAACTTTTCTGACAAATTACGAACTCTAGAAAACAATAATGTTAGAAGAATGTGGTGATCAGCATCATCTCCAGATCTGAATTTGATTGAACATGTGTGGAGCCGAATGAAACTTAACCTATCAAGAAGGCGAGAGACACCTCAAAATAATGACATCCTTATCCAAGCTGTATCAGAAGAAGACTTCATCAAAAATCTCATAGAATCTATGCGAAACCGATTTCATGAGGTTTTGTTGAATCGGGGAGGCCTATACCAAGTACTGGAATTTAGGATATAGGACTTTCTAGTTGGATATTCATAATGCTGAAGAATTCACTGTCATATTTCGCCAATAGAGCCCTTTTCGAATATTTTTAGTGGATATATAAAGTGTTACAAATTTTATTTTCCATCTCGTTTTACTTCTATGAATTTTTTTTGTGATAGACTTCCTAAGTAATATCGTAGTAGTGGTTGAAATTTGTCAGATACGTTGTAAAACACTCAGTATATTGAACAACAATACTTTGTATCTCATACTTGGGCAATGGATATTGGAAATCATCTATATCAGGAAACAAGTTTGAATTGAAAAATCTCATCCTGTATTTCAATTAGAGGCGAATTTTCGAAAACGTATCGAGTTAATAGTCTAATATAGATAATGGATATCGAGAAGGCCGTTTCTGAATATACTGAATCAAAAGGGCCATAGTTTTGGTCACCATTTTTGATTTTTTTTTCACTGAAATGAGATTTTTTTTTCGCTTGGAGCGCACTTTCTTAGGGAGGATAGGGATAGGAGGTAGGTATTGGAATCTTTCTTGAACTTCTGGAGATTATATGTTGTTGGGAATACTTCCTCAGGCAATGAATTCCAGAGCCTAGCCGTTCTATGGATGAAGGAGTTTTGATGAAGTGCTGTTCGACATCTTTCGAGGTTGACAACGAAAGGATGTGCTGACTGGGCTTGTCTAGTTCGTCTGAATGGTATTGCGATAGCAGAGATTTCCGAAGAACATTGAGGAGAAATCACGAAATCGTCCCGAGATGAGGTTCCAGTGTATCATAATATGACTGACTTTTGATCAGAAAAAAATTTATCGAGTTCTGGCAGCATTGGAAATGTAGACCATAGTGTAATGGTTCCTTTTTACACCCTGTGTAAGTTTTGTTCAGCGGACCGATGAAATATCACATCTGATATCGAAAACTGCATAATGATCAATTTTTTCAAAAAATACAGGTCTTCGAAATAGAGTCGAATTATGACACAAAATCACATGATCAGCACGGAGAACTGCTTCTCCTTCCACTACTGGTCGGCTTTTTCCATCTGAATAGTACAAAATATCTGCCAAAAGAACATCTACAACAGGCATTATTGAAGTTTTCGATCGAATATTGACAATTAATGTCAAGGACTTTGAAAACTTATCACTCTTATCAGTACACAGTACACAAGCTAATGAAACTTATGGAATTGAGTGAGGATTAAGTTTGTTTTCCCCCAGTTTTGACGTGACTTTGACATGGAACGATGAAAACCGAGCGCCACCTGGTAACATTGATTCCCGCGAATATTGTGACATTCCCCCTTTTCCCCTGTGGTTTTCAATTTGCATAGGGCTGTAATATTTCCATCGTCATCTAACTTTCGAGCAAAACAAATCGATTTCCCCCGTATTAACGCCACTGGGATTTGCATCAGCTGAAGTGAATCAGAATTTGATACGAGAGGCGTACATAGTAGACAGATTTTTTCATTCCAATAACCACTCAATAATCTCATCTCGAAGTGGTACTAATTTTGTCTGAAATATATGTGAATTTACAATATCAATAAGGAGTTTGGTGACTGGAACAAAGGGTAAACATTACAATAATCTTCAGATTCAGATATTTTTACTTGAAATATCACAACAGCTTGAGTTATTTCGGAAAATAATCAAATATGAAAAATTTTCAAGTATGTGTCTGGTTGTCATGGTTAGGTATCCAAATAAAGACATTTTTTCTGTGACGGGAAAAAAGTTTGGCATTTCATCTCTGTTGGCAGTTTATAAAATGTCACTTTTCATAAATTACTATTTTCCCGTGGGAAAAAAGTGAGTACTTTTTTCCCGGATATATATCACATATATATACACTGTTGATGGCTTTTGTTGTGCTATAGTTCCAAAAAATGAGTCAATAATACCGTCTCCGAGAATGAACTGCAAGTCCTTTTATCTTCCATTCGACTTCGCGGTTACGTATATTACTAAACAACCACTAAATTCGCAATTATTTGAAATCAAATCACAGAATTAGACTGACAGAAGTGACATCAGATATTTGATTACTTCAAAAGAATGATAAAGACCTACAACGCAGGTGTCCCTACGCTAAAAACTTAAAATTTCATGTCGATAATTTTCAGATTTCAAAATAATATGATATCTTCGCAATATTGATTCGTCCTTTCTTCTGTCACAGAAAAAAATAGTGTATTATACACGGGAAAAATATTAGATTTTAGCTCACGGTTTGTTTCCCGGTGCGTAGCGTAGTTATTCAATGAAGCAGACCTGATTTTTTCAGGTAATAAGAATGGTTCTCCCACAAGATGCTGTAATTCCAGAAGGAGAACAAGATTACATAGACTTCAAACAAGAAAACCCGGAAGTAAACGAATTCTACAACAACCTACTGAAAAGTTTGGAAGTACATGATCTCGTGACCATAACCTTGAACGATTTAATACTAGCAACTTTGATGATCGTCCTACACGTATCCATCATTTTGGCTTTCTGGAAATCCGATAAACTCAGGGGCGAAAGACTGAACTTGTATATCCTGAATCTTAGTTGCATCGACTTGACAACTCATATCACACGTGTCATTACTTATGTTGACAGAAGCATCGAGGAATATTTCAATCTGACATTGTACTGTTTGGAAAAATCAGGGATGGCGATATGTAAACTCTTGTACTTGATCATTACTTTAGCTTTGGCTCTAGATTGGTGTGTGACTTGTCTGAGACCAAACTGGACTGCTAATGTCCAAAAATATTGGAAATACGGCATCATAGCTTTGTATTTGTCTGTGTTCATAGGTTTGATAGAAAGATGTAGGATATGTTTTGGTCCGGAGTACTGGAATATGCGCAACATACATTTGTTGAAGAATTTAGCCTTCATAATGGATTTCGTTTTAGTACTAGTGGTGAATATACTCGACAGAACTTTCAAAATGCGAGCTACCCATATTGAAACTAGTCATGTTTTGAAAACAGTTAACATTATCATTATGTCATTTGTACCTTTGATAGTGCACACAGTCTTATCATATTATTTCAGACCACATCTGATTGTGTCTGTTTTCTTGTATTACACTATCTTCCTTACTGAGATGATAAATTATTCTCATTTTCTACTAGTAGCCTATTGTCTGTGGACTCAATGTGAAGATTTCAGGTTAGCTCTATCAAAGTTATACAAACGGACTACGGGACCATCGAAACTAGTAAATGAGAGAGTGTTATATGAAGGTACTAGTACTAATACCTATATCAGTGCAGATTACTTTGAAGATGACGAAGATCAGAACCTCATGAGCGCTGTATGTGAGACAGATGGTCAACTACAAAACGATCACCATGTAGAAATAGAATTTGATAATATGTTCCGTACCAAGCTCTAATTCCACCTATTATTCTATTAACTTGTGTCTTGGATCATATTTCTCGAAGGCTAGTGGCGTTGGTGTAAGATTGTTCCTTCATAATAATTTTGGTGAGTCAAGTTTCAATTATTTTTTCATTGATTTGTTGTACCTGTGATCTGTGAACCCTCATATGTCTCTGTTTTGGCACTGGGATGATCTCAATAATCAAACAGTTCAACGCTATCATGATTAACGATTGTTATCAAGAGCCATTAAATTACTTAACCAAGTGGAATAAACTGGTCAACATTCACAACGTGAAATTGAATCGATCAAAGGTAGTTGTCCCAGAACATCTTTTTGCACAAAAAATAACACTCAGTGGATTTTTCGCTATTTTTGCAATTTTTCAATTGAAGCAACTCAAAATAAATCTTTTTTAGCCCCTGACTTTTTTTCGTATCGGGCTTCGTTTTAGAGGAGAAACATTACAACCAAACCCTTGCTTGTCTCTAAAAGGTTAAAGTAAGTATGAATTAAAACTGAATATGGTTGGTACGTTCATGAACTAAATGACTGATATTTAAAAACAATAAAAATAAAATAGCTGAACATATCCTTACTGAAGATGGACAACATATGGCAGAGTGGAATAACATTAAAATCATTGGGAAAGAGGAAAACAACCAGCAGAGAAAAATCAAGGAATCTGCTTGCATTCTTCTGAACGGAGACAATAGAATTCCTGTTCAGTTGATATAGATAGAACATGGTATACAATACTGAAATCTGAAAATGGAAATGGTAAATTCAAGATGAAATGAAATCATCCTGTACCTCATTTGATTGCCAACGTCACCGATTGTCACTGAGGATTGAAAAGTGTCAGGACAAATACGAATTTGCAACCAAAAAAAGAACATTTTTTATGTTGAAAACGGGAGCAGATTCGTTCCCGAAACGTCCAAAAATTTGATATTTTTTCTATATTTACCTTCATTTCTCTTCTCCAAACATTTTTCAATACAAATTGTCACTGACAAGCTAGTGAATTTTTCTTTTAAGCTCTCTGATAGGAAAATTCTTCAAACGCAGTGACATTTTCTGAAATCTGGAATAATGAACAATAATGATGCTTCAACATCCTGTATCTCGGAAACGAATCGTTTTCGGACATATGTTTATATGAACTACTCTTCATATTTTGTGCAATATTAATGAAACACCCTGTTTGGATGAGTGGTGGTCAGGTTATTATTTTTTTTCCAGTTCCCTTGGTTTCACACTGATTTCTGAAGACTTTCATCGATTCCCAAACTAACATGAACATATCCGATGGATTCAAAAGCTTGAACGGAAGTGAAATCGATGAAGACTTATCTCTAGATGAAGATTTTTCTCTTGGATACATTATCCATTTGCTGCTCAGCTATTTCCTGTACTATCTTGCCAAATCATCAGACGCCTTGGTCATCTATGTATATTTCAAATACTCAGTTGTGAGGACCTGGGAAAACTATCTAGTGCTGCATTGGGCCATCGCAAGTTTTTTATTTTTTGTGATGACTGTTATTATTGATTATGTTATTCTCAGAACGGTTTTGGATGTTCATACACCGAATTGTTTTAGGACAGCCGCTTGTAGAACACTCGTTATAATGACATTGTTATTCGCCGATGCTATGCTTTTCAATTTCACACTGCTGAATTTCAAGTTTAAATTGTCTGATAGGCATGAAAAGGGTTTTAGAAAATATTTTGTTTACGCGCTATATATTATGAGCTTCTACATTTTCATTTTGGAATTTTTCATTTGCAAGGGTAGTCTAGCTATACAGAGTATAGTATTCTTTGAAGTACTTGTATTTATAGCTATTATCATGAATATAGTGGTGCTTATTTTTGTATCACCAGGAGAAAAATGCCGAAACACCAAGTACACCCTGTATGTGGCTAACGTGATAGTCTTCTCATTTTTACCTATGATAATATTTCACTACTTGATAACTTATTTTTTGGACAATTCTACAGTTGTAGAATTTTTGTTACATGCTCATTCTATACCAAGACTTGTCCAAGTTAGTAATTCCATAGCAGTGTGTGTTGTCTTGTATAGTTGCAATAAATATTTTGGTACTGCAATGGTATTGACCATCAGAAAGTGTTTCTGTATAACAAAAGAGAGAGATGGATGGAACGATCTCACTGAGCAGTTAGTCTGTAAATGAACTGATATTGTTTATTGTATTTCTAGATGTTTGCAATTGATGAGAATATATTATTCAACCATTCCTCGTATACTCAATTGATTGTTGTTTTATGATCTTGACAAAAAACAGACATAGGTACCTTGGTACCTATTTGGGATATTCCAGGATTACAAGATAATAGTACAAGAATAATATGAAAAGTGAATATTATTTCACGAAAAGTTTATAGAAACTGTATATGCGTACAATAATACGGGAATATCAAATGTTTTTCAGTTTCCTATTCTTTCTGATTCATTCTATGTAACACGATACCATATTTTGATAAAATATATCTACGAATATAACAGGGCTCTTAGTCGTGCTAATGACATTAATATCCACTCGTATTCTATGAGTGGTGGAATCCAGTCTGGTTAAAATCTGGGTGAGTAGACATAGCATACAAGCATACAGTGTGATCTAGTTTATAGCAACAACAATCGATAGAAAATCTTCGTTCGAAAAGAAACAATTTAGGTCGTAAAACGCTTTGATTTCATTCAACAAGAACTTTAGATTCAACAAGAACTTTAGATTCCCAATTGAAAAATGTTCCTAGGTAATGAGATCATCTTCATGCCTCTGCTGTCAAAGTTGGAAAAAAAGTTTTTGTTCATTCGGGATCCGTTTGAAAATTCCGAAATTTTTCACAGTTTCAGGTGACACCCTGTAGCTATGTTATATATATATAAAAAGTTATTCATATTTCAACAGGCACAAAATTTTGAGGTGCGACGAAATTAGTGATGCGTAGTTTAGATTTGTAGTCTGGTGTTCAACTGTTCAATTCAAATTTGTTTTTAGTGTTGCATATTTTTTGATTGTAGGATTACTAAGATGCCAAATACACCGAACCAAACACAGTCGCTGACAGATTTCGATCAAGACAGCTGGGTGGAAAAACTAGATTTCCTATTCATCATTGATGCCATAACTTCCATAATCAGCTTCTGCGTTATAGCGGCCGACATCTTCCTCATCACAGTCATTTGCCGAAATCGACAGCTCAATACAAAAACATATAGCTTCATCAAACACTATGCTATTTTCAATATGCTATCACTAGTGCTACCCATAGTGGCTAGGGTAGTTTTGGAACTAACTGATCTCCACAGGTTTTTCGGAGGTGGCGGGTTTTGTATTCTTTTGAAGATGGAATCTAGTTGTATATCGTTATGTCACCTTCTTTCTATTGGTTTATGTTTAGACTGGATACTGAAGAAACCTCAAAAAAAACTCACGATGATCTATAAGTACTGCTTTCATATAATTTATGCTCTTGGTTTGTTGTTATTTCTTGTAAATGTTAGTTCGTGCTTCTCCAAGTATGATTTCGGGAGATATATTGGTGAAAATGTTATTTATCTATTGGTATTAATGTTTACTTTGTTTTGTGATTGTCTAGAGTACAAAAAAGTTATAAACAATGTGAAATCTTATGCGCTCACTTTGGCAAATATCTTGGTACTCAGCTGGATGCCTTTGCATGTCTATAAGTTACTCTGGTATATTTCTTTTAAGATGGACTTGGATATTTTTATGCAGATTTTATTGATGACTAGTTGTATACCAAACTGGATAGCTTATGGTTGCCCTATTGTCATTATATTTACTCTGGTGAAACTGGATAAAAAATTCCAGTTAATTTATGTAAAGACGTTTCAAAGAAATGGAAATGATAGGAAGTCAGATGGTGCAAACATGAAAATAGCAGAAATTGAATCTTTGGAACGTATTTTTGAAACATTTACTTATATTTAATGTGTGATGCGGCTTTGCTATTTTGACAATATTTGTATATAACTATTGAGATTTTTTCATGAAAGCACTAACCAACTGTCGTATAATAATTGCACTTAGCTGGTTGATTGATTTATTGATCATGTTGTCACTTGTTCTTTTTTGATTCCAAATAAATTTGATACATCAAAAAAGTTGGTATTGAGTTACTCATGATAAGAATGGCAGATATGATGTTCTCATCTGGTAGGCGGTTCTCGTACTCATATATTGAACAGTTCAATGTGAAGTATATTGCTGATAGCTGACTCAACATTTCGTTTGGAAATACACACTTATTCAATACAAGGTAAGATAATCTGTCTAATATTTGATATTTACCTACACAGTGCTATCATTGAAAATGAATATTCTCAGATATAATTATGAACATAAAGACATGAGAAATGAAGAAAAAAATAATCGATGCACTCGATTAACTGTCAAACACATAAAACATTTTGTGTAAGTACACCGCCTACTATAATTATGAAAAAATAGACTGATAGCCCTGTGGATCATCGTATAAGAGGAACAATTTTAGTTTTATTATTCCAAATGGGAAGATCATGTGATAGGTACATGGCGAAAATATAAGACAGATAGTTTCTATACGAGTAGCTGAATTCGAAAAAATATGTTCCTATCTCAGATTCCTCAATATCATGAGTTATTTCCGAAGGTTTTCATCTTGACTCAAACAAGCTATTGACAACCTGCAGACATTGATCAGAATATCAAAACATTTTGAATAATATCGGTTTACCAATGATATTCGGATTTCAAAGCCTACCAAGTGTCGATATATCATCGAATTCATGTCACAGCCAACTTATTCTTTTTGAATAACGAGCAATTCAACAGCGAATTGAGGAATAAATGCCACTTTGTGATACATGGTTGGATAGAGAATTTCAAGGCGAATAAGACAGACTGAAGAAATGTACAGGGTGACATTAAAAAAAAAAGTTGGGGTCACTTCTGGTCAAATAGGTGGTTGAAAAA